CATTTTCCATTTCACTTCCGTTCCGAGGCCATGATGGAAAGAAACATTTATTTACAGGCTCAGGGAAGCATCAACAGATTTTGTGTGAGGGCTTAACAGCAATGAAGTGTCTCTGGGCCTGAAGGGCCACCTTTAAGCCTCTTCAAGTACACTATCCTCCACATACTCCCCTAACGGACAAGTGGGCAGTGATCCCTCAAGCGGCTGGCTTAGTCTTTCCAATTACACTCCACAGTTCTGTCCTGCCACCTCCCAGCACCTTCTTCAGAGAGAAGAACGCTGTGATGTCTCACGCCTCCAGGCGTTGGCACCTGCTGTGCCCACTGACTACAACTCCGTTCCCAATTGGCCCTGTGAACTTGCGTCATTCTGACATCACAGCCTCATCTCTCTCTCCTTGGTAGAGGCACGTTTCTTCCTTCAACTAGACAGACTCTTGTGGTGTGCCATCAAGTAAATTCTGACTCATAGCGGCCCCATAGTACAGAATAGGACTGGCCCAGAGGGTTTCCTATGCTGGAGTCTTTACTCCCACAGATCCACTGGTGGGTTCGAACCACTGACTTTCAACCCAGTTAGCAACCCAGTGCTTAACCACTGTGCCAGGAGGGCTCCTACCTTATCACTCCCTTTTTTCATTCCTATGGCTCCTTCTCCGCACCTTCACTGGAGTACTTACTCCATGGCATGCCTATCTACTCCTAAAACTGTAAGCTCCTTAAGGCAAGAAGAATGTCGGATTCTTCTCAGTACCCATCCATCCCCCTGGGCTCATAGCAGGTACTCAGTACAGATATATGTTAAAAGGATGAGTAAACTGAGTGACCAAGAAACAGGAGAAAGGATACAGCATAGTCGTTGGCAGCCACAGAGAACCCTGTAACACGCCCAGCATTCCCACCTTGGGGTAACAAGTCTAGTTTTCTGGTATCGTCCTTCTGTATCAGAAAGACTTATTTTCTCCCTGCCTCCCAGAATGAGATTAGAATGATGATGTGTATTTGCCACCTCAGATACGATTTCATAAATATATCCACACAGCATGTGCTGTTCATGTATTAAGGGGATGGTTTAGCAAAGAGACAAACAGGCTTGGCTCTGGGTTCAAATCTAGCTTTGCCACTTACTAGCTCTAAGATCTTGGGCAAATTACTCTGTGTCTGAGCCTCAAGTTCTTCCTCGGTAACATGGGGATAATTATAGCACTCGTCTCTTACAGTCGTTACCAGTACATGAAGCACTCAAGTCAAGATGTGACACACTGTTAAGTGTTATCTATCACTGTATAGAAGGAGCTCAGGTAGCATAGTGCCTAAGGCACTTGACTGCTAACCAGAAGGCTGGCGGTTCAAACCCACCAGCCACTCCTCAGAAGGAAGACTGGACAATCTACTTCCGTAATGATACTGCCTCGGCAACCCAAGGAGGGGTCGCTATGAGTCGGGGCCGACTCGATGGCACAAAACAACAACAACAACAATCACTGGTCTGGTGGTGTAGTGCCCAAGGCATCTGACTGCTAACCAGAAGGCTGGTGGTTCAAACCCACCAGCCACTCCTTGGAAGGAAGGTGGGGCAATCTGCTTCTGTAGAGATACTGCCTCAGAAACCCAAGGAGGGATCGCTATGAGTTGCAATCGACTCCACAGCAGTGAGTTTGGTTTGGTTTGATTTGATCACTGTAATATACTACAATGTTCCCAAGGTCTCCTATGGGATACAAACAGATACATACATGGCATGGAATCTGTGCTATTTCGTGTAAACCAGTGATTTTCACCCATGGCAATCTGGACCCCAGGAGACAGTTTTGGTCTTTGGTTGTCACCACTGTGAGGGAAGTACTACTGGCATTATAGGTCAGACCAGGGCTGTGGCTCAACATCCTACAATGTGTGGGCACTGCCCACCACCCCAAAGAATGATCTGGACCCAAAATGTCAACAGAGCTAAGGTGGAAAACCCTGACACACACATGTATACAGAAATGTATAGGATGCAGTCACAAACTACAGATACACACATATTCTGTGTCGTATTATACAGGTAGTCCCTATACCTACACATGTCCCTGACACGTGCTATGATACAGCTTGGATGTTGTCACAGCATATTCCTAGCATAGCATCCTGTCATGTACGTGCTATGTACCGATTGATTGTGGCTGTCAGTATCCATATGCAAAAAGGCAGTTTGACTTTCTGGAATTTCTGCAAGGATGCTGAACATGAAAGAAAAAGAAAAAGAAAAACTCTAATGTATATAGAGCCTGTGTCTCTTATCTGTATTTCATTTCCTTCTCACAACCAGCGTAGGCGAGATCTCAATTTCAGCAATGATTACTTCAAGGTCACACAACTGGTAATGAAGGTCGGTTCCATAAAGGCAGGGACCGTGTTTATAGTATTCACCAACGTGTCCGCAGCGCCTCAAGTGTCACGGCTCATAGTAAACAGTTGTGAAGTGCAGCGATGGGGTCAGGACAAGGACTCAAAGTCTGTCTTCGGCACGTGCACTTAACCAGCACACCGCCCATTAGGTAGGAAAGCCGGCGATCGAGTCCCCACTCCCTTCCGGCCCTCAGACAAGCTCGTCACCTCTCTGGGTCTCACAGTACCTATATGTAAAGTGAGCTATAACAAAGCAATCTTCCTCAGGGTTAGCGCGCAGTGTCAAACGTGCCAAAAGAGGCAAGAACGCTCTGCGTCGCACGGGCGCCTGGGACAACTCGGACACCTCGCGGAACCGAGGTCCTCTTGCCTCCAGCTCGGGTGGGCTGAGGGAGAGGCCTCTCGAACAGAGAGGTTAACTCGGACCTGGACGCAAACCCATCGCTCGGCCTCCAGGAGGCCTAGACCCCAGAACGCCCTGTGTGACCCAGCTCTCCAGAGACCCTCCAGAAGGAAGCAGCCTCACCTCCACGCCGCTGTGCCAGTCACGTAGCCGCCGCCCCGCCTATTCGGAGCGCGCGCATGCGCGTGACCCCAAGGGTCAGCGACGGCGGCCGGGAGGCGGAAGTGGAGGAGGTTGTGGCTCCGAGGGCCGCGCTCAAGGAGCTGCTGCTGCTGAGGCGGCGGCGGCCGCCCTGAGGCGGTAGCGACCCTGCTGGCCCCTGGCTACTCGGCCTCTCGGCTCGCCCCTCAGCCCCACTTGAGCCCGCCGGGGCCCGCGCCGGCCAGCACCTGCCCTATGAGTGTGTCACTGGTTGTCATCCGACTGGAGCTCGCGGAACACTCGCCTATCCCCGCCGGCTTCGGCTTCACTGCCGCAGGTGAGTCCCTCGACCTCGTCGTCTTCCCTGTAGTCGGCTCCTGGGCCTTACGGCTCGCCCCCAAAGCACGGAGCCAGGCAAAGGCCGCGGCGAGGCCTTTTGTGTCAGGAAGAAGCTAAAAAGTGGCTAGGGTTCTTTTCATCCCGTCCATCCTCAGAGGCCTTCCCAGACGTCATCTCTGGGAAGTCCTTCCCGGGCTTTCCTTCCCTGCCTCTTCCCACGGGCACTCTGCTCATACCTGGCGTGCCTCCTTCGCCGCCTGGGTTAGATGTGAGTTGTGTGATTGTCTCACTTGCCCACCTCTGGGCACTTGAGGGCAAGAACGGGATCCCCGGCGATGCTGACAGTCCCTGGTTTAATTAAATGTTTCCTATTTGGAAGAATACGCGCTTAGACGCCCTGTAGCGGTGGCCATCACTACAAGTAAAGTCGGGTCACGTCACAGCGCTGTATTAGACACCTTGTAAACGTTTTCTTTTTGAATTACCTTTGCAACAACCCTGGGCGGTAGATGGGTGGTATGCCCCTTTCACAGATTGGGAAACTGAGGCCCAGTGGTTAAAAGACTTGCCCCAAATTAGGGGTGGAGCTGGGATTCTAACTCAGGGCGCTGGTCGTGGGAGCCTGAGCCCTTCACCACCAACCAGCCTCCAGCCTCCTCAGTGAGGAGAGCAGCCCTGATTCTGTTCCTTGGAGCTCAAAGTTTTCATTATCTAACAGTAACAGTCATTCAACAAACATTTGAGTGCTGGTGCTGGAGCTTTCCTTGTGTGCACAGTCCGATGTGGTCTCTGCCTTCATGGCGGCAGCAGGTCAGTGGTGGAGACAGTGCTCAGTGTTGAGAGGACACGTGGAATCCCAGTTGTGTGCTGGGACGGGAAAGAGAAGCGACTGGGAGAACTGTTACACAGGGATTTGACCTGGTTGGTTCGGGAGCGGGGCTGGGGCAGGCAGGGAATGAGTCATTGATTGGAAAGTGGAGGTTCAAACTGAAGATGGACTATAGTTTAATGGGTTAAGAGCACTTCCAAAAGCCACACTTGATCTCTGAGTTCTGAAAGTCAGATCAATCGACCTTACTACATATTGGTCAGTCGTGGGGGATGGCAGCAGAGAGAGAAGGGAGCCCTACGGATGGATGATGGATCCGTTGAGAATGGAGAGGATGTTTGATCAGGTATTCATCATTCATGTGTACCTTAGCCGGGGAAATGTCTGATGAGGAGATCAAAAAGAAGACACTAGCTTCAGCAGTGGCCTGTTTAGAAGGGAAGTCACCAGGAGAGAAAGCAGCGGTCATACATCAGCATCTTGGCCGCCGAGAAATGACAGATATAATCATTGAGACCATGAAGTCCAGCCCAGGTATGCTTTCTAACACCCCGGGCTCTCCTCTGTCATGTGAGCCCCTGGGTGCCTGTTTTACATGCTGTTCAGTGAGCTCATGATTTGATCTCTGCCATGCATATATCTCTTGTGCCTGTGTGCCTTACGTGAAGCTGTCAAACCGCCATTTCAGCTTCTCCAAATATTATTTCTAAGTGAATCCTAACAAGCTGAGTTGTGAGTCTGTCAGTGGGGGGGAGCTACTCACCACCCAGGTAAGTGGTGGATCATGAAGTGACTCTGGCTAAGCATGTTGGCCATCCCCCTGCTCTGCCAGCGTTTGCCACTTAGGGGAGTGGCTGTATAGTGCATTCCCAGCATGGAGGTGGTAGGGACTGGCCAGTTAAGTTTTCAGACCTAATAGCCCTGAGTGTCTCTCCCAGTTAGGGGTACCTGACAGAAGACACCTCCTTGGGTTATGGTACTGCCAAATTTAAGAGCCATCCTCAAGTTTCTGAGGGTGTTACTGAGATTTTTATAGGGCAGAGAGAGAGTTCAAGTTGACATACTTCCCCCCCAAACTTGGCCATTCTGTGAATATGGTTCTTAATGTGGTACAATTTCTCTGTCAAGTGCTTTCCTCCTGCCTCACAATTTTAACCTGCTTAGAATCTTATGCTAACTTTCTATTAGTTTATAATCTGCTGGTTTTTGATTTGTGAAAGATGAACTAAAAACTACAGTAGAAGAAGAAAAGTCTTCAGAAGCAACTCCCACTGCACAGAGAAGTAGAGATCAAAGTAAAGAATGCGTAAATGCTGCTCCCGATTCTCCATCCAAACAGCTTCCAGAGCAGATTTCATTCTTCAGTGGAAACCCGTCAGTTGAAATAATTCATGGTATTATGCATCTGTACAAGACAAAGTAAGAAAAACCTGGATTTCCTTTTGGGTTGGTCTATTTTTTTTTCCATTGGACAGAGAACAAGTCTCTTGCCCTGGAGGGAAGTAGATATTTTAAGCTTCAAAAGGATATTACTTTCATGTGTTGTGTTAGAGAATTATTAGATGTTTTATGTTTGATTAATCTTCGGATTGGGCCAAAGCTTCCCCTTATGGAAAAAACATGTGTACATACACTGAAGAAAATACCAAAAAAAATGTTCCCTTAGCAGTTCGGCATGGAAGGTGATTGGAGAATAGAACATAAAAGGAAAATTGTAGAGGGTCCGTAGTGTCACTGTAATCTTTTACATCACCAAATCTTTACTAAAGAAGCTGCAGACAAGTCAGCTAACTGATCACAGTTTCATCTCCTTTCTACCCTTTTCTGTGGTCCCAGCAAAGGTTGCTGGAGGTCACGGGAAAGGAAGTATTTGGCTTGATAATTTAAAAGCTGGGCCATCATCAGCTCTTTGGGTAATTGGTAGCTAATCTCTTAAAGGCTGTTTTTGCCCGAGCTTGTTTGCCAGGTCCCACTGGGAACACAGCAAATATTCAGGGAGCCATTTTGGATCACAGCTGTCGAAGTGGGAGGTTTTTCTGTCTACTGTTACCCATTTCAACCAGGCAACACTCTCTGTCTCTTCAGAGTCACAGCCTCTTGGGTTAGACTTCTCTTTCCTATATTTAGAGCTTGTTTCTAGACCCTGTGAGGGAAGTCTGTCACTAGAGTTGTGTCTCTACGTGAGCTGATGAGAGACTGTTAGTCAAAAACTAATGAGAAAGGAGAAACTGCAATATATATATATGTGTGTGTGTGTGTGTGTGTGTATTTGTGTGTATATATATACACGTATGTGTGTGTGTGTGTGTGTGTGTATTTGTGTGTATATATATACACGTATGTGTGTGTGTGTGTGTGTATATTTTTTTTTTTTACCGAACTTAAAAGAAGGTTGGGCAATCCTACTTCCGTAGTGATACTGCCTCGGAAACCCAAGGAGGGGTCGCTATGAGTCGGGGCCGACTTGACGGCAAATAACAACAACAACAAAAAAAAAAACTAATGAGAGTAAGAAACCAATGAGTGTTTCTCTAATGCAGATTTATAACTCTAATAAACCTTTTTAACTGAGGATTAAAAATTCCAGCGGGAGGGGTGTAAAGTAGAACATTTTAAAGCCTACCGCAAACTCCATTGCAGATACCTCTAAGGGAGCCTGCATTTACTTGCTAGCGAATAGTTTTGAATAAAATATGACAGGCTGTTTAAGTTGATTTGTGAAATACTACACGTTTTATGTTTTTCCTATTTTCTTGGGCATGAAAGTTGTGTAATTAGCATTGTCGGAACTACCATACCTCATCCATTCAAGACAGTCTAATTATTGTCTCATTAGTAAGATGACCTCCTTAAAAGAAGACGTGAGGCGCAGTGCCCTGCTGTGTATTCTCACAGTCCCTGCTACAATGACCAGTCATGACCTTATGAAGTTTGTCGCCCCATTTAATGAAGTAATTGAACAAATGAAAATCATCAGAGACTCTACTCCAAACCAGTATATGGTGCTGATAAAGTTTAGTGCACAGGTAAACGTTAAGATATTAAAAATCTCTTTCCCACAGAAACTGTTTTTGAATCTGTGTGATAATAGCTGTGTGTGAGTACAACATTTTGCATTTAAGATTCTAGACATATGTGTGTCTTCCAGGGTATTGTAATAATAGGTGTATTTCTGAATTCAGAGTTGTAATTCTAATCATGCCCATACCTTTTTTTTTTTTTTTTTTTTTAAGTTAGAGGAAGCGCAGATGGCAGTTTGGAAGATTGAGGAGTTCTTGGGCTATCGTTAGATTTTTTCTTAATTTTTATTGTGATTTGTATGAAAATTTATAGAGCAAATTCATTATCCATAAAGCAGTTCGCATACACTTTGTCTCTTGACATTGACTGCAATTTCCCACAGTGCAACAGCTCTCCTCCCACTTCCTCCCCATAGTTACTTCTTTCCTGTGTCCTTCCCTCCATGCACTCCTGCCCCCTGAGCTGTCTCCCTGTGCATACACAGCCCTTCTATTCTCCCATGATTGATCTCTCCAAGGAGTGTGTCTACCTAATGTAAATATTCAGCTCATATGCCTGTCTTTTATTTGGCTGGAAGCCACAGGACTGGGTTCAATTCCAGATCTGAAGGGCAGCTAGGGGCCATAGTCTCAGTGGTTCCACCAGGCTCTATCAGACCAGCAAACCTGGTCCCTTTTTTTTTTTTTTAATGATTTTGAGTTTTGTTCCACATTGTTCTCCCACTCTATCCAGGATCTCCTACACAAATCTCCGTCTGAGTGGTTGACAGTCGTAGCCGGGCACCATCTAGTTCTTCTGGTCTCTTAGTCATATAGTCATGCCCATACTTTTTTATAGATTGGGGTACGTGTGAAATCTGGTTTTTTGTTTGTTGTCTTTAGTAGTAACAATTCCAGAAGAGTAATAGTTCCCAAACCTTCTGAAGTTGATACCTTACCATTTGCGTTAATAACCCTGCTTCTTTCACTCTCTTTTTAAAAGGTACTCTTTGGTGTATTTTAGAAATAAAATCTTTTGTTTTTTTATTCTTTTGTTGGACCAATAAGATTTTGTGACATTCCTTTTAAGTATTAAATATGTTTTTGAGTTCTGCTTGGAAATTACTGTAACAGACAGAGACATTGAAAGAATGGTGCCGTTTTCATTGTTAGTGGTACCCTGTGCACTGTAGCAGGTGTTTTTGAACTAGGAAGATTTTGCCATTCATGCCATTTCATTTATTGCATTAGGCAGCACTTTCCACAATCCTCAGTTACAAAGATATTAGAAAAGTATCCTCTTGGGTTTGCATATTCATGAGTATGTATGATTTCATATGAGTATAAAAATGAGGTGTGTTCTAGGAATAATTCAGATTATTAAAGAGCTCCCAAGCCCTTAGATTTCGTTCAGTTTGGTTTTTTAAAAGTAGCCTATTATATTTTTCTATTGCAATTTTATTAAGTTTTAAACTGCAGCTTTGTCAAAAATTACTACTTTAAAAAAAAAGAAATTACTTCTGTCCCACCTCATTCAAAACAGCCTTCCTGAATTTGTCCCAGAAAAATAATTCCAGATTGCTGATTGACAGATGTGGGTGTGCCTTTAGGACCATTACCCATGGCCTCTTTGACATGTCGCTAAGATGTGTGGGTAAAAAGGAGCACACGACACGAGGTTACACTTGCCCCCTCCTCCTTCCCCTTTACAAAAATCCAGAGCGGACAGCATAGCAGCCACAGGGCCACTGGCCATAGGGCAGAAGCTAAGAGAAGTGAGACTTGGATTATATCTGGGCCATTTGTAGGCCCCAGAGAGAAGAGCCTTGGTGTGAAGCCCAAGGTACACAGTTGTCACTTCTTAACCTTTATAGCAGAGGAGCTCTGGTAGCATAGTGCCTAAGGCACTTGACTGCTAACCAGAAGGCTGGCGGTTCAAACCCACCAGCCACTCCTCGGAAGGAAGCTTGGGCATTCCTACTTCTGTAGTGATACTGCCTCGGAAACCCAAGGAGGGGTTGCTATGAGTCGGGGCCGACTCGATGGCAAACAACAGCCTTTACAGCATAATGCCTAAGGCACTTGACTGCTAACCAGAAGGCTGGTGGTTCAAATCCACCAGACACTCCTCGGAAGATGGGGCAATCTACTTCTCTAGTGATACTGCCTCGGAAACCCAAGAAGGGATCATTATGAGTCGGGTCGACTTGATGGTACACAGCAACAACAACCTTTACAGGGTACCTCACCATTGAGGAAAACACTTAAACATGGATTTCAACTGTCCTGTAGACTTAGTCTTCAAAACTCGTGGAAAATAGAAACGCACTTGAAAACTGCTTTCACTGAGCATCACAGGGCCTTCTAAGGTCCCTGAGGAACTTTGCAAGTAGTGGGCAAGTGGTACCTTAAAACTCTAAAATCTGGTGGCATGTGTAATAATGAGGACAGTGATGATTGTAGGTAACCTTTATGGACTGTTTGAGTGGTTAAGCACTCAGCTGCTAACCAAAAGGTCAGCAGTTCAAACCTACCAGACTCTCTGCAGGAGAAAGACATGGCAGTTTGCTTCCATAAAGATTACAGCCTTGGAAACCCCATGGGTTAGTTTACTCTGTCTTATAGGGTCGCTATGAGTCAGAATCATCTTGATGGTGGCATGTTTGGTGTTTGGTTTGTGCTATACCACTCACAGTGCTAATGCTTTACTTGCCTCATTTAATTCTCAACAGCCCAAGGAGGTAGACAGATAGTGTTGTTATCCTTGTTTTACAGATGAGGAAATGAATGCCAGAGAGAAGTTAGTCATTTACCCAGGGGTCACACAACTAGAAATAAGGGCTGAGCTAGGATGTGAGCCCTCACTTGTAATCCCTAGGACGTCTACCTGTTCTCAAAGGAGTGGAAGGAAAGCGTGGGAAGGGAAGTCATTCTGTAACAGCAACACTTGAGGACTATATTTATTGCATATAAAGCACCCACGTAAACATCACACGCTCATATAACATGTATAGGAAACTAATGCATGAGGGGATTGTGGGGTTTGCTAAAAACAACATGCGCATTATTTGTGTAAAAATATGGTGCTCATTTTTACTTAACAACTAAGAGCAAGTGACATATGGGCAACATCTCATTAATAGATTGGGAAAAACATATTAGACCAAAATAGACTTTTAAAATTATCTGAAGTCTAATAAAGCCACAAACTTCCCTGTAGCAAATGGCTGCTCCTCATAATGTGTAGATAATTCCATGAATATTTTATTTTCACTGTAATTGGATTTTTTTTTGCACGTCTGCGTGTTCTCCCACCTCTATCTTTGGATCAAGTGCAGGTTGCTCCTATTGATAGATGTTGTCTGAGGCTGTAAAACAGCTGCTGCATGCTCTTCCCAGTGGGGATAGAACCCTTGGTATTGTGGGTTGTATTATTACTTAAAAACGAGCTCTGATGGTGTAGTGGATAAGGTACTTGACTGCTAACTGGGAGGTCAGCAATTCAAACCCATCAGCAGCTCTTCGGAAAGAAGATTGGGCTATCTACTTCCATAAAGTTTAGGCGCTCTGGTGGCGTAGTGCCTGAGGCATTTGACTGTTAACCAGAAGGCTGGTGATTCAAACCCACTAGCTACTCCTCGGAAGGAAGGTTGAGCAGTCTACTTCTTTATGATACCACCTTGGAAAACCAAGGAAGGGTCACTGTGAGTGGGATCTGACTTGACAGCAGTGCATTGCAATTGCATTATTACTTACTGCTAACCCTGGACGTCAGGATCTGAGGCCCGTCCTGCGAAGGCGTTTCTAAGAGCTCCTGACACTCTGCTGGTTGTTGTTGTTGTTATGTGCTGTCAAGTCAGACCCGACTCACAGCGCTAAAATGGGCGATAGAAAAGTGGGAAGACTGCACCCTGTCAGAAAACTTGCGAGACCCAGGAAAACAAGGAGGTCCGGCCGAATTCTGGCTCTCACAGGTTTAACTGTCGTTAGTGGGGACAAAAATGACAGATAACTTCTCCAGTGAGTGTGTCGGCTCATATGCAGTGGTGTGCCTCGGGTGGGCGAGGAGACTGCTCTTGAGAAATAAGTTCTCACTATGGTTCGTCACTGTGACAGTGACAGACCCTTGATCATAATGGATTTTTTTCTTTCCCTCGGTTCATCTTGAAAAGAGAACATAGAAGGGAACTTGGGGCTTGGGGAGCTGGGTTTCTTTAAATTTTGGGCTCTTAAATAAAAGAGTTGTTTGTTCTCTGCTTTGTGTTGTTAGCTTCAGGTTTTTGTAATCTTGTGTATTGATGTTCTCTCCTCTCCTGGCACATATACTGGGTGCTCAGTGGGTAGCTGGACAAATGAAGCTAAATTTCTGATACTGAGATGTTTAAGGAGGAGATCATTGTGTTCACATTGGGGAATCTCAACCGTTTATAAGTGTTCTCATTTCAAAAACATGCATATCTTTGGTGTTAACTGATAAGTCCCCCGAGAAGGGGTGAATGTGTCTGATGTTGAGTGATCTTGTCACATGCCCTGTGTCATGAACCTTGTCCGTTCCTCTGAGGGGGCCTGGGTGCTTCAAGAGCATTTTCAGAGCTGGGTGTGAGGAGGAGTCAGCCTCATGTGCGGCAGTCAGTCCCCTCAGTCCACGAATCCATTAGCTCGCTGTGCTTCCTGCTCAGCCAGAAGCTTTCCAAAAAAAAGGCCAGTGCTCTTGAGAAAGGTGGGGGTGATTTTAGGTGCCTCTATTATATTAGAGAAATTCATTACTCAACAGCTGGCTTTTAACATTTGGATGAAGTTAAAATGCACTGCACCCGACACTCAGATTGTTTCCTGAAGGGCAGGCCTTCCCTACCCCCCATCTCCACCCCAGTGAAAACCGCGTTCAGAATTGGTCCTCCTTCCCAGCTGTGTAGCTTACTTAGTCATATTAACAGAGCAGAAATAATCAAGAATCCGCATTTGAATTACATCATCAAAGTAGAATTAAAAGCTGCTGAGAAACTTCCGGAGGCTGTAAGATTCAGAAGCCCTAGGAGGGTAGAAAAGGGGGACTATTTTTATCTGAGAGAACCTGGATCCCTTCCTGGCGATTGACAGTGTGGCACTTCCTTTCACAGAAACCCCCAGAAACAGGCTGCGTAGACAGGTTGGTAGGGCCAAAGCACACAACTTCCTGTGTTTGGGCTTATGCCCAGGTGGGAGTGAAACCCAGACAACCCTTGGCCTCCTAGATGCCTCTAAAATATGGAGTTTAAACCTGGAACCATCTCTTTGTTGCTTCCTACTAAGGCTGGCTGGCCTGTAGAACATTTGCATTACCAATGTCCATATTCACAAATGCACATGCACCTTTGCAGCTGTGTCTAACGGTGGGTGTTGCCCCTTAGTCCATCTGTCTTTTGTTCCTAAGGAACAAGACAGGTTCACCTTGGGCCTCTTGACCTTGGCTGAGAGTTTTGCTTTCTGTATCGGATATGAAGTTGTTGCCTAAAACCTGATGGGATCCTTATCTGCCTGCCATGTACTGTTAGTATTATTTGGTTCATCGAGAAGATGGGGGAGCTCTAGTGGCGTAGCACGTAAGGCATTTCACTGCTAACTAGAAGGCTGGCGGTTCAAACCCACTAGCCACTCCTTGGAAGGAAGCTCGGGCAATCTACTTCTGTAGTGATACCACCTTGGAAACCCAAGGAGGGGTCGCTATGAGTCATATCCGACTCAACAACAGTGAGTTCGGTTTTTTTTTTTTTGTTTGTTTGAGAGGATGGAGTTAGCTGTTCACTCCACACCAGTTCCATTGGTCCTTTGTTTTTTCTGACAGTAATGCCGGCGTTTTGTACAGGAACCTTCCCCCCCCCCAATAATCTATTTTATTTTGAATTGGTAAAAGCTTTTCTACAACAGATGTCAGTTATGATTTGGTTCCAAGCTTTGCAAAACTGAGTGCTGGCTTTTCAGCTGCTGTGAAAGTGCTGACCAAAGACAAAGTGATATCCAAGGAAATGCTGAACGTTGGGGGGCATATTACAACTGCCATCAGCCTATTGCCTGCCAGCTCCTGCAGGTTCAAGTAGAAACTCCATAGCCCAGGAAGCCTTGTGGTCGTAGGCTGTTGGCCCTCAGAGTTCAGTCAGCCAGTGAACCTGCATCTGTACATGTTCCTTAGGGCGCTTGCTTTCTTTTCTAAATACAAACTTCAAATACTGACGAGAATAACTGAAGCCGTGCATCTTGAATATAAAGCAGGTTTGTTCTAACGATCTCTCGTTTTTTTCTTTTCCTCGTTGGGTCATAGGCTGATGCAGATAGCTTTTATATGGCATGTAACGGCCGCCAGTTTAACTCAATAGAAGATGATGTTTGCCAGCTGGTCTACGTGGAAAGGGCTGAAGTGCTGAAATCGGAAGATGTAAGTGCAAATGACTTTCATATTTGAGATAAGTGTCAAAATGGTGTAAGATTGAGTGTTAACAGTATTATCTGTGGAAACGTCCAGAATGAGCCAGTCCACAGAGACTTCTGTGGTAGATAAGTGGTTCCCCAAGGACTGGGGAGTGGGAACGACTATTGACGGAGTGGTGGAAATGTTCTAACCTCGACAGTGGTGATGCTTGCACCATCTTGTGAACACACTAAAAAAATAGAATTTTGTGCTTTCAAATGGTGAATTTCATGTTACGTGAATTTGATCTCAGTCTTTTTAAATTGCCAAAAAAAAAAATGTTTTAAGACAAAAGGTCTTATCTGTGTTGTCGAAACTGGGTTTTCAACTCTTCCAAATAGATGAAACGTCACCTAGAACCAAAAGATGTGTTTTGGATTGTAGCTGTTAACCTTGATCTCCTTCAAATTCCTGGTGCTGATTCACTTTGATAGCAGAGCCTGACTGCACGGAGCTGCTGCCCTTGGTGGAAACCTTCCCCGCACTGTACAGTCCACTGATCATTTTGTGGTGCAGTTTCAACTCTGTTCTGCTTTTAGATTTACCTTCTTTCCTGGTTGACCTGGAATCGGCTTGATGGAAATAAATCCTCCTTAGATTGTCTGTCACTGTTGTTATGCTGGGTGCCATCAAGCTGACCCTGACTTTCAGCGACCCCATGGGACAGAGTAGAACTCCCCATAAGGTTTCCTAGGCTGCAGTCCTTACCGGAGCAAATCACCAGGTCCTCCTCCCACAAAACCACTGAGTAGGTTTGAACTACCAACCTTCTGGTTGGCAGTCGAGCACTTAGCCATTGTGCCACCAGGGCTCTTTGCTCTCCCATCACATTAAGGGGGATAAAATCTGGTCGGTGATAAATGTGGCTCTCTTGTGCCCAGTGCTGTGCTAGGCCTGTTTTAGAGACACTTCCCAAGTGACGTGGCTTCTTGAGAAATGTCAGCCCTGCAGGCCTCTGATTTTTCTCAAGATGCCCTTGTGTGTGTGCCTTCCCCAGTTTCACATGAGTGGTTCCTACTCACCTGTTGGCTGTTTGGCTGTTAGGTCTCAGGTGAGACATGGCTTGCTTTCTTTGAGGTGTCTTTCCTGACCAGCTAGACCAGATCATGCCCCTGCTTCACACCTGTTGTAACTTCCTTTTCATTTTCTTCATAGCACTTACACTGATTGTAACCTTATTTTTTTTATTATTTGATTTTTGTCCCTATACTCTGGGCCCTGTCAGGGCTGAATCTGTTTCCATTGACCATTGTTCCTTACCTAGAACAGTGCCTGACTCACAGCAGGGACTCAATAACTATTTGTTGAAGGAGTAAATACAGAAGCTCAGTGTTGTGGATAGTGCCATCACCAACTAGACAGTGTTAAGGTTTTTTTTAACTCTGTGGAAAAACCGTTCAGAACCATTCCTGTTCTACTGTTTTTATTCCTTTGTATTCTCTTATAGTTGTACATGTTTAGAGTGAGAGCTTGGGAGTCTGGTCACATTTTAGAGTTACCTGTTTGCATTTTCCCAGAGTATCCAGTCCCTCAAGGGCAGGACTCTTACCTGTTCTGTTCACTTATCATCCAGTGTTGGGAACATAGGGGGTGCAATCACTATTTGTTGAATGAACGAGTAAATGCAAATGTCACCCATTTAAATTATCTAGAGAGAGGCATGATGTTGAAATTACCTTGCAAGAGTTAAAAAGCTGCAGGGCAACTGTTGTTGGAAACAGGAAATCAGAGCTGGAGTTGAAAAGTGTAGCTTATGCTTGTTGTGTCCCTGTAGGGTGCGAGCCTCCCCGTGATGGACCTGACCGAGCTCCCCAAGTGCACAGTGTGCCTGGAGCGCATGGATGAGTCTGTGAACGGCATCCTTACCACATTGTGTAACCACAGCTTCCACAGCCAGTGTCTACAGCGCTGGGACGACACGACGTGAGTGCGTAGCCCCCACAGAGCCAACAGGCACCCTTCCCCAGGATTAAAGCTAGAACTGGTGGCGTAGTGCCTAAGGCATTTGACTGCTGACCAGAAGGCTTCTGGTTCAAACCCACCAGCCACTCCTCGGAAGGAAGATGGGGCAATCTACTTCCGTAGTGATACCGCCTTGGAAACCCAAGGAGGGGTCGCTGTGAGTCAGGTCCTACTCAATGGCACATAGCAACAACAACAATAACTGGCAGATAATAACTGCTGCAGGTACGCAGGTGTAGATAGCTGGGTGCCACATGGTAAAGTGGTCGTACAGAAGAGCCTTCCATTCTCCACCTTCCTTTTCCTTGGTTCACATAGGTATCTGCATCCTTGGACCAGGTCCTCTTTAGTATGCTGAGTTTCGGTCCTTGTGCAGTTTTCCAAAGCAATGTGAGTCGTTCTTTCCTTCTAAGAGGCAGGGAATGGAAAAAAGAAACAAGGCAGCTTAGCCTTGAGCGTCTTTTGCTGAAACCACATCTCCATCTGAAATCTTATTTATCACCTGTACTTGGGGACAGCCACTTACTTTGACTTTCTTCTCAACTGGACTACAGCAGCCTGATGTTTTAGTTTGTCCAGGCTGTTGATGGCACAGTGGCCAGTATACCCAATAGCAGTCACCTGGTAAGAGGCACATACCTGCAGTACCCTGTTTCACAATCCAACAGAGCACTTACTCGTCGAGAGGTACTGCCGTAGGCGCAGAGCTGAGAGGTGGCCTGTGGCTGCCTTTTTAAACCAGGGGTAGTTACTCATTTTGTAGACTGCACCGTAAGACTTAGCTAGAAAGGTGGTTCAGACACCAACCCTCATAACACAGAAGGAAAGGTGGAAAATCAAATAATCTCACAAATAAATGTGAAAGCACAGCCGTCACAAGCATTAGGAAGGAACAGCGGGCAGCACTGTGGCAGCAGGGTCAGCCGGAATTGTCTGAGACGTGGCCTTTGAACCTGAGGGGTGAGGACACAGAGGGACTCAGGAGAACACACTGGGCCGCAGGAGGGGTGCACTTGGGAGGGTGGAACCATTCAAAGCCTGGGAGTGAAGAGAAATGGAACTTCACAGGAATCTGCTCTCAGCTCACTGTGAGCCGAGGCTGGGAGGAGAGCACCGGTTCTGTGTGCAGGAAACTGGCCTGTTCGCTTGTTTGCTGCTGGCCTTATAGCTGGCGTGGGCCTGTTGCATCGTGGGAGTGCAGTAAATGTCCTTGCGCACACGCTGACCTTTGGGTGGCATGGAGCACTCGCGTTCAGCTGGAGGAGACGCTTGCCTCAGTCCACAGTGTCCTCAGCCAGTCTGTTCTGGAGCATCTCTGGGAGCTCTTCTGAGACTTGTCCAGGTTTACAGTCACCTTAAATAAAGCCACACTGAGCTGTGTGCTTGCATAAAAGTCTTCCATATCCTGGGTCCATCTGGTATCCCATTCTGGACACTTCTTTGCTCCCTGCCTCTCCACTTTTACTTTCCGTATACATTAGCTATCATAGAACTGGAGCATTTTGAAGTTGGAAGTTTCCTCAGAGACCATCTTACCAAGTCTCTTCAGGGTACAGAGAAGAAAACTGAGGCCCAGAGTCCTCCCACTATAGGGTCGCTATGAGTCAGAATCGACTGGAAGGCAGTAAGTTTGGTGCATACAGTGTGAGGCACAGTGTTTCCCTCAAAAGCATACAGCTCATTTAGCAAGTGGGTTTTGACCCTGGGTATGTGAACACTACAGTGCCTGCTGCCGAAGGAAGAATCAGTCAGGCCTCCTCAGGGATGTCCTGTCTGCTAAGGGAGGCACACATAGACAAGAGTACACATGCTTCAAGGTAGAAGTTGGAGGAGATGGAGAAATGGGGTTGCAAGGAAGGCTGCAGGTAGGAGCCAGCATGGGTACGGCCTCTCAAAGGGTGTTTTTTTTTCCACGTTTGGAGAAGTTGTCGGGAAAGGGCATTCTGGGAGGGTGTCCCCAAAAACCTCCTTGGGAAAATAAAAATTCAAATTAATTCTTGGAGGGGAAGGCAGAAAGAATTTAATAAACTTAATTATTTTTTAATAGACGCTTATATAGGTAGAATTTAATAGAATCCTGCTTGTATTATAGATAACTTTATTTTTGTAACTTTTTCCCTTTCTGTTGTCAGGATCAGATTTGTATTTCAGCAAAGCTGTTCTAGCACTATGTAGAGAATTAGGTTTAGAATTAGTTTGTTGTTTTCTTATCCAGCCACTATCACCCAGAGAAGGGATGACACGGAGCTAATTCCCACCTTTAACGAGACTCCTTGTCACTTACTGGCTGCCATTTTGTTGTTGTTGTTACTCTTTGTGAGCTTATGTTGTTTCTCTCTCGATATTAAAAAGAGAGACTGGATCCTTTAGCCTTCTCATTGGACACAGATGGAACCTCCTTACCTGTGACGGTAATGTTGTGTCCTTCCTCCTGATTTCCCTGTCTTGGTTTTATTTCTCAGTTGGGCAACAGATGAAACTCATATGGGTTGTGTCTTGAGCCGCCTTTATTCTCGATGCCGGTTCAGTTAGCCTTATCTCTTTAGCTACGACAGCCTGCTTTCTGTTGTTTTTGCTCTTAAAAAACCCAGACTCATTGCCATTGAGGTGATTCTGACTCATAGTGCCTATAGCACAGAGTAGAACTGCCTCGTGGTATTTCCGAGGCTATAATCTTTATGACCCACCAGCCACTCCTCGGAAGGAAGGTTGGGCAATCCTACTTCCTTAGTGATACTGCCTCGGAAACCCAAGGAGGGGTCACTATGAGTCGGGGCTGACTCGACGGCACATAACAACAACAACAACAATCTTTATGAAGCAGTCTGCTACATCTTTCTCGTGTGAACTGGCTGGTGGTGCAAACTGCCAACTTTTGGTCAGCAGCCAAGCACTTAGCCACTGTGCCACCATCTCACAAATATGTTTACGACTAGTATTAGCATTGCTTAGTTATTGAGTAGGAGCTCTGGTGGTGTAATGCCTCAGGCATGTGACTGCTAACCAGAAGGTTGGTGGTTCAGACCCACCAGCCACTCCTCAGAAGGAAGACTGGGCAATCTACTTCCATAGTGATACTGCCTTGGAAACCCAAGGAGGGGTCACTGTGAGTCGAAATCGACTTGATGGTAGTGAGTTTGTTTGTTTGTTTGGTAGTTCTTGAGTATAATAGAAAGGGAGGAGTGGGTTTTTTCAGTGCCATCTTTATTTACACATCACTGGTATCTTTCTTGCATAGTAAGATGTCATATGTATTTCAGAAAAACAAACCAAAGCCACTTGCCATAGAGTCAGTTCCAACTCACAGCGACCCCCATTGGGCTTCTGAGGTGGTAAATCTTTACAGAAGTAGGTTGTCTCATCTTCCTTCCGCAAAGTGGCTGGTGGGTTTGATGGTTAGCAGTCAGATGCCTTAGACGCTGTGGCACCAGAGCTCCTTGTGTGTATTTCAGAAGTACATTAGCAGTTTTGTTTACTTGTTTTTAATTTGATTAAATTTACTGCAGATTTTATTTCCAACTTTAATGACCAACCTTGAGAAGGCAGGGTATATTTTGAATGATTGAAATCTTTGGGAAGTGTGGGTCAGGTAGATTATGTGAAGTAAAAACATCTTATGGATAACCAGGTATGCAGCAATAATCTGTCTCGAGTCCCTCGTTCTAACAGGTAAATATTTAGCTCTTGGATTATCCGAGCTTTATGTAGGAAGGTGGGAAAGAGTAAGAGGCATCAATATTCCTCATTTCTTCTGCTTTATCAACATTTTATATTTTTAATTTTGTTCACGAATAACTTGAAAACATTTTGTCTTTTGAATGATATCCTTAGTTACGATCAACTTAAAAAGAATATATAAGAGAAGAGAAATACAAAATTCAGGTTTTGCTTTTATGTGCTCTCTAACAGCTGTGTTTCCTATTTGATCTGAATTTGTTGTCTTTTGGTGTCCTGGTAGGTGTCCCGTGTGCCGATACTGTCAAACACCAGAGCCAGTCGAAGAGAATAAGTGTTTTGAGTGTGGCGTTCAGGAAGTAAGTAACAGGTACAGGAAAGGAATAATGAACCCCCAGCTACTGTCGTCTGGGGTTTTCTTCTGCCTTGTGTGGCTTAAATTCCTTGAAATTCTTATTGAGACTGAATTTTCAGTTTTTTTTTCTTTTGTTTAGGATCGGGAAAGAAATAGAAATACCCAAATGATACTACTTCTAAGAAAGTTTTCTGTTTTTATTCTTTGTTCCTTATAAGGCCCGGACTTTTTTTGATAAATTGTGAATGTTTTTACATAGAGCTCTTGAGAAATCAGGGTGAGAAGATAATTTCGTGTAAATTCACCCTTGATTGTTGAGCTTGAATCATGTATGTATTTAAAACTCCGGTAGAAACAACTCAAAGTCCTACGCTAAGTGAGTCAAGTCATTTGTTTTCATTGAACTGATGAATATCTCACCTTCCTCTTGGCAGAACCTTTGGATTTGTTTAATATGTGGCCACATAGGCTGCGGACGGTACGTGAGTCGACATGCTTACAAACACTTTGAGGAAACCCAGCACACGTATGCCATGCAGCTGACCAACCATCGTGTCTGGGACTACGCTGGAGGTGAACACGCCCTCGCTTTGTAATTTCGGAGTCCTTGTATTTGGAAACTTCCTTGGGAGCTCTCTGCTTTCCCTCACAGTGTGAAATGTCATCTTCCTGACAGCTGTGACAACCTCGAATTCTCACGGTGTCCCTGAGGGCACTGGTACCCGTGAATGGCCTGAATCGCACATTACAAAGAAAGTTCATACTTCCACTCTTGCCCTCTCACTCTCTCTAAAGTTCGAGTGGGTTAGCCCACTTTTAAAGAAATACTACCAAGGCATTTCATTTTGATCTATAACAAAAATGTTGTCAGCGTTAACGCGTATGGAGACCCTTTTCATTCTGAAGAAACAGCTTTTGGTTGACTCATTCTTTTCTTTAGATAATTATGTCCATCGACTGGTTGCAAGTAAAACAGATGGAAAAATTGTACAGTATGAATGTGAAGGTGATACTTGCCAGGAAGAGAAGATCGATGCCTTGCAGTTAGAGGTGGGTTCTTGTAGTTAGTACCAAGTGCCTGTATCTGAGTAAGAGACTTTTCTGCTTTTTAGTTTGAAAGGCTTTTGATTTTGCCATTGACCCACAGGCAGACTTTTTTTTTTGTAAGTTCTATCATTGCTGTGAATGATTGTTAAAATACTTTTATTCTGTTTTTCTCTTTAGAAAGTCTAAGTTTCACTGTACCTTCCTATTTTTGGTGTGATGTTCCCAGTTTTCTCAACTTCAGGATTATGGTTGTCCTTTGAGGCTGCAATAAACCTGGATGTTAAGAATGTTCTTATTGACATCACATTGTTGTTGTCACTAGATACTGTGGGGTTAGTTCTGACTCATAGCGACCCTATAGGACAAAGCAGAACTGCCCCTGTAGGGATTTCTAGGCCGTGCTCTCTACAGAAGCAAAATGCCACATCTTTCTCCCATGGAGTGGTTGTGGGTTCAAACCACCAACCTTTCATTTAGCAGCCAGATGCTTTACCGTTGTGCCACCAGGGCATCTGGCATCATATTAGCAAGTGGAAACTGAACAGACTTGGTCAGGATGAGGAAGACCCACTAGCATCATTCCATGCCCAGGAAGCTTTTTCTCATATTTTGGGCTGGCATGTTATGAATTAAAGGCTTGTATACTCAAAGTAGGAGCCCTGGTGGCACAGTGGATAAATGCTCAGCTATTAACCAAAAGGTCTGTGGTTCTAACCCACTAGCAATTCTATGGCAAGAAAGACCTGGCAGTCTGCTGCCGTAAAGATCACAGCCTAGGAAACCCAGTAGGGCAGAACTACTCTGTCCTACGGAAATCAACTCAATGGCACAAAACAATGACAATATGCAAAGTGTAAATTTTATGAACTAGGGACACAAAACCATCTTTTGGGTCCATCTATACTTGAAGAAACAACAGAAGTTAACATGATTTGATTTCTCTCCGTAGCAGTAAACTTTGTCTACTATTAAGGGGATATAGTATAAATTTTATGTTAATGCAGGGAAAATTTAACATGAGTCCTATTTTGTATAAACTTCCAAAAAGATTTTAAAAACAACTATCTTAACCTTGGGAAGAAATGGACATTTGCAATGTCATGAGACAAAGTGTATATGAACTGCTGTATGGAAAGTGAATTTGCTCTGTAAATTTTCACCCAAATCACAAAAAAGAAAAGAAAAGAAATGGACATTTGAACATTTGCTTATCGCAGAACTCTTAAAGTTCTGAAAGTTTCCGTAAAAAGGCTTATAATAGGGCCGGTATTGCTACCATTAGTAGATTGTGTTGATATGAAAAGAGATCCAACCCTTTACGTTAAGTTTTTAGAATAAGTAGCTCTTCCCTGTTAGTTCTTAGTATGTACACACATTTTGTTCTTTTGGCAAATATTCATTGAGGACTTCTAACTCTGTTGGCATAGTGCCTAAGGCATTTGGCTGGTAACCAGGAGCCTGGTGGTTCAAACCCACCAGCCACTGCTTGGAAGGAAGACTGTAGAGATACCGCCTCAGAGACCCAAGGAGGGGTTGCTATGAGTCGGATTCGACTCGACGGCAGTGAGTTTTTGAGTTTTTTAACTATCACCCATTGCTGGCGCTGGTGAGTAGTGCTGAGCAAGCCTGATGAGATCGGTCGTCTGGGGGCACACATTCCAGCAGCACACCGTGCTTCTGCTCATCCTGTCTGTTGCACTTACAATCTCTTCTCTGGCCTGTTAGCATGTTCAGATCTTGTCTAACCTTCTGAAACGCAGGTGTGAGCTTGCCACTCCTCAGCCGGGAGCCCCTTTTGCCCACATTTCTCAGCATAATGTTCCAATCCTTCCTGTGTACTTTTGGCTTGTCTCCTTTACCTGTCCATACCCTGCCCTCCAGCCTCACCGGTCTCATTCCTTTCTGCAGAGATGAACATTCATGGCTCCCATCTTGATCCAAGAGTTCTTTCGGGCCTCAGATCTATCTGGCTTCTCCTTCTGTTTGTCATGAACCCTCTCAAATGTCCCCTTCTTTCAGAAGTCCTGCCGGATTCTACTGCCATAAGCCATCTGTGCTCTCCCTATAGTCACATAGCACTGTCATCCATTCGTGCAGTCATGTAGCAAACCTTTCTTGACATCTGCCATGTGCCAGACAGTGGGGATGTTGGGATAAAGACATTCTTCTCACTTTTAAGGAGTTCATAGTCCAGTCAGGAGACAGGCTGGTGGACCAGGGATGGAACACTGGTGTCATCGTGCTATTGGTGGTGGGCACAGTGCCGAGGGAGCTAAGAAGGACTGGGAGGGACAGGAGAGCTTCCTGGAGGGGAGTAGATGGGTGATTGGTTTGAGTTGCACTTTGATTTTAACTGTGTGGTTCTTTAAATGATCTGCTTGAACAGAATCAGTTTTGTTTTTGTGACGTATGCTTCTCCTCCCCTGGGTCCTAAGTCCCAGGAAGCCAGGAGTGTAATTGTCATCTCTATGGTCCTCCTGACCAGGGTGTGTCATGTGAAACTGAGGTGTCATATTCCCTCTGATGAGACCATTAAAGTCCAGTTCTGATTGCATTTCAGAGCCTGACCACATCTCTGTGACTGACATTTTGGTTTATTCTCCGTTTCTAGTATTCATACTTACTAACAAGCCAGCTGGAATCTCAGCGAATCTACTGGGAAAACAAGATCGTTCGGATAGAGAAGGACACAGCGGAGGAAGTAAGTGTCTGGTTTGGTGATGGTGCTGAATTGCCACCACATGGCAGGGAGCTTGATGTCGGGTGGGGAAGGCTGAGCACGGGAGAAAAACGGTCTCAGAGCTTCTGCCCTTCAGTCTCATAGACAGGCACAGAACTGTTTTCCTCCAAAAAGGAACCTTGTATTTTGGCATTTAGGGCTCTGGGGAGGGGAGTTATTTTTGTTTTTGAAAGTATATATATTTTTTATTGTGATTTGGATGAAAGTTTATAGATCGAATTCATCTTGCATTCAACGGTTCATACACGTTTTGTTTCATGGCAGTGATTGCCATCCCCAAATGTAACAGCTCTCTTCCCACTTCCTCCCTGGGGTGACTTTTCCCTATGCACTTCTTTCCTGTGCATTCCTGCCCTCTGCGCTGTCTCCCTGCACAAGTGCTGCCCTTCTGATCACCCATGGTTGACTCTTCTAAGGAGTGTATCTACCTGGTATAACTGGTCGATTGGTTGGTTTTTTTAACATCAATCAGGTTTTCTAGTGTGTCATACAGTCCCGTTTAAAAAAAAACAAACCAGAAGTATGTACAAAAGGGTTTGTAACTTGAGTCAGCCAGCTGGTTGGTCATCTTGGGAACAGCTGCTTTGGGGAGCTCACTGGGACTCCAAGGCAGCGAGATGCTGCTGAGCCATTCTGCGTGGAGGGAGATAAACTCGGGCGGAGCACTGACGCTTCAACCACCACCCGGTGCCATTTTGGTCTAGGACAGTGGTTTCCAGATTTTAACAAGAGACTCCTTTAAGGAAGATGCTGCTCACTACTCCATTAGAAAAGAGAAAAGTGGTGTGACTTTGGTGGAAGCCCAGAGATCTGCCCACTTAGTTCTACCCTAGCCCCTGAGCAAACCCACCAGCCACTCCTCGGAAGGAAGGTTGGGCAATCCTACTTCCGTAGTGATACTGCCTCGGAAACCCAAGGAGGGGTCGCTATGAGTCGGGGCCGACTCGAGGGCACATAACAACAACAACAACAGCCCCTGAGGAAGTTCCCTGTCTGAGGAACCCTTTAGGATTCCAAAGAAGATAGCTTAAAAACCAGCGAGCTGTAGAATCCTTCAAGGGTTTGCGTGAAACTAGGGCTCTACGAACCATTCTCAGGACCTGGGGACAATGTCTACATCACTGCTTCCCTTGGTCTTAAATAAGGGCTTTTAGAAATTAGAAGGATTGTTTCAGTAGCTTTGTGAGTTCGCGGGACCACGTGGGCCTTCAGGTAGGGACTGCAGAGCAAGGAGCCAGGGCTACCCTGGAGCGTGCTGCACAGGGCCCAGGCTCCCGCTTGATGCCTGGTGCCTATAACTGAGGAGAAGCCGGCGTTATCAATCAGTGCTTGGGCCCAGCTTACAGTGATCTTTAGTTAAAAGTTCTTGAGAAGATTGTTACAAGAACCTGTAAAGCAATGGAAGTGCCTTTTCCAGAGGCACTGGTCATGTGACTTCGAGTTCTGAATAGTGCTTGATTGGCGTGCCCGTGGCACAGGATACATTCCCCGGGCTCTGGCACGTGATGCTGAGTTACAGACCCACAGGCACGCCTCCCCCTCAGCCTCGTGCTGGGCCCACTCGGGAAGGCTCAGCTCAGGACTCCCCGTCCTGGAAGATTTCACCGTATTCCCTAACGTACGCCAACAAAAAGCAGGTCAGGGGCAGGGAGCCACAAGTGTGAGATGCATGCTTACCGTCCTGTAGGACGAGATACGAAGCTTCTGGCACGGGAGAGGGTGTTTTTGTTTTCTAATAACAAATGCCATTTATCCCCAAGTTGAAGGGCTGTGCTAGCCTTTGGTTGTTGCCACTGCCCTCCCTGGTGACTATTCCTCTGTCCAGCTTCCTCCAGCGGTGCAGCCGCACAGAACTGACCCTGGGGAGCAGGGTGTGTGGGGGAGGGGATGGATGAGGGTGAAATTCATGGGGATCTACTGTTGTAGCCCCAGGGCCTTTGATAGATCATGATTATGGCCCCTGACCAGAGGCCTGTTTAAACAGTGAGATGCACACCTGTGGGAAGGGCCCCAGTGTTTACAGGGCTGTGTCCACATAGTAGGTGAATTCCCCTAAAGACACTGCTTTTTTCTTTGGACTTGCAACTTCATTGAAATCTGTATTTTTCCAGCTGCAGGTTGTGGAGTGAATTTGGTGGGTCACAACAGGCATATTTATTACATAGGGTTTTTATTAAATGGGATAAATGTAAAGTGTCAGAGTTTACCCCATTTATCTTTCCTGAAACTCATCTCAGTCCATCCAGGTCTGTGTGTGTATGTGCTGGGTGTTTCTGACTGTGGGCTAATGGTCAAAAACGCCTTTGAAAATGTTAATTTAAATCTTTGCAATGTTTGTTGGTTGTGATATTAAAAACATGTTGTAGGGTTACTTGGTGTTTCTCATGTAATTTAAATGTATTTGGTTTAAGTATCTTTACTGCCCAAAACATACACAGTTTGGTTCCTTTTGGTAAGGATTTCTGTTCTTTCCTACAACTGTGGGGGTCAGTTCAGGAGAACACGTCAAAGGGTCTAACCCACTGCAATCGAGTCAGATCTAACTCATAGCGACCCCTCCTTAGGTTTCCGAGGTAGTATCATTAACCGAAGTAGATTGCCCAACCTTCCCACCAGCCTTCTGGTTAGCAGTCAAACGCCTTGGGCACTACGCCACCAGAGCTGCTATCAGAGGGTCTGGTGAGATCTTCTTTGAAGAGCCGTTTCCAAGCTGTTTTGATGCTTGCTTGTGACCTAGAGGCATCTTGGGAGGTCTCCCTTTGCTTACGTGTTCTGCCAGCTTAGTGTAGTTGGCCAAAAAAGTTTAATTTCTACAAAGAAATTACTTTCTTATGATGAACCAATCCGTGCTGGTAGGGCCCTGTGAATCCATGTGGAATGTGTGTGAAAAGGAAGCGTGGGAAGTGACGGGCCTTCTTCCAGCCCAGGAGCCGGTGCTCAGGTCTCCTGCAGGAGCTCTGCCGAGACGCAGGTCCCGTGGTCGCTTTTCCTCTGCGGCCGTGAGCACAGAGCTGGAGAACTGCGCGGCGGGGCCAGGTGCTCCAGACGCCCCCCACTCCAGCCCCGCGACCCAGGGCATGCACTTTCTCTAAACCTCAGTTTAGAAAGTTGACATACTTAAGTCAGGACTGTTAGGAGGCATCGATGCGACACTGCTTATCAAATGCTGAACTGATTCTGGGGCCATGGGATTGAAATGCTCACTTCCTTTCAGCTCCTGATATTAGTGCCTCATGGCCCACCTATCCTCCTGCCTAATCTTTAGCCAGCGTCCTGAGACAAGTGGAGTGAGGCACTTCCCACCTGAGTAAATCTCCCTATTAGAAGTCAACGTACAGCATGTTCCTCTCTGACATGTAGTACACGAGAATGTTAAATTTCTCTTTAAGTACTTTAACATATGAATTACATATATGTAGATATGTGTGTGTGTGTGTGTATGTATGTATATATATTTATTTATATATATGAAGCCCTGGTGGTTAAATGCCCAGCTTCTAAATGAAAAGTCAGCGGTTCAAACCCACTAGCCCTCCATGAAGGATAGATGTGGCAGTCTGCTTCTGTAAGGATTTACAGCCTTAGAAACCCTGTGGGGCAATTCTGCTGTGTACTATAGGGTCTCTGTGAGTCAAAATCAACTTGACAGCAGTGGGTTTCCTTATATATATAGTTTACAAAGAAACTTAAAATAAAGGCTGCTTACATTCCATATAGGAGCTCTGGTAGTGCAGTGCCTCAGGCACTTGACTGCTAACCAGAAACCTGGCGGTTCAAACCCACCAGCCACTCCTTGGAAGGAAGGTTGGGCAATCTACTTCCATAGCGGTACTGCCTCAGAAACCCAGGGAGGGGTCGCTATGAGTCAGAAATGACTCGATGGCAGTGAGTTTGGTTTTTTTTTTTTTTTTTTGTATATTCCATATAGCTTTGTGGTACACTGGAAAACTAATAGTGAGTTTAAAAAGCAATCCGAACAGCTAGGATCAGCAGCCACCAGTCCCTTAGATCACCAGTGGACATAAGCTGAGGAGGCGCAGAGACGGTGGTTCAGAGTGCACAGCTGGCTGGGCCGCCTCTGTGCTGCGGCCTGTTCCTCACGAGCAGTTTGGCTTGATAATCACAGCTCGGGATCCTCTGTCTGCAAGGGCACAGAGAATGAGCAACAAGGGGCATTTCTGTTAGAGAAGGCCTTTCCAGTGTCTCTCCGGGTCTGAGTTAGGCTTGTCAAAGTTACAAACAGATCACTTAAAAAAAAAAAAAGGCTTTGTTGTAAGATACCCCCAGCAAGCACAGAAAGTTGCCTGTGTGAAGTGAGTCCGATCTCTCTGTTCTTGTAGATTAACAACATGAAGACTAAATTTAAAGAGACCATTGAGAAATGTGATAACCTGGAGCACAGGTTAAGTGACCTCCTGAAAGAAAAGCAGGCCATGGAGAGAAAGTAGGTACAATTCATTGTCTCTGTCTCTTCTCTGGCTAGCTATGTTATCAAGGCAGGCTCCGTAAACAGGGGTTGGCCTTCATTCCTGTGGAAACACCCTCACTTCCAAGCATTTGCATTGCTAGGTTCTCAGAGGTCTCCCTGTCTGTGAAGAAAACTTACTGTGATTTTTGTTGATTAAGGAATGAAGTATTTTGCGCCAAGTGGCCACCGTGTGGAATGCAGTGCTTGCTATGTCTGTCCCTCCATGTGCTCAGGTGCATGCCACTGCTGCCTAGAGGAAGGGCCAGGGCCTGCAGCCACGTGGGAAAAAGAGTGTGCCTAAGTGGGAGCTCTGGTAACATAGTGCCTAAGGCACTTGACTGCTAACCAGAAGGCTGGCGGTTCAAACCCTCCAGCCACTCCTCGGAAGGAAGATGGGGCAATTTACTTCCATAGTGATACTGCCTCAGAAACCCAAGGAGGGGTCGCTATGAGTCGGGTCCGACTCGATGGCACATAACAACAACAACAAGCTGAAGGTGACGTGGGCCCTGGGCTTGGGCAAGAATGAAAGGCCATGTCGGCTGTGGAACAAAAAACCTGTTAACAGCCTGGCAGAACCATACCCCACATGTTCCCGTAATGTGGGAAGATAGTGGCTGCTCATTGAAATTGCCCTTCTGGCTCAAGTTCCACCCACCGCGGTACTTGATTTTTACCTCTATCCCCAAAGCCACTGCCACTGGGTCATTTCTGACTCACAGTGACCCCCACAGGGTTTCCAAGGCTGTGAGTCCTTATGGGAGTAGATTGCCTCGTTTTCCTCCCGTGGAGCAGCTGGTGCGTGTATGGCAGCCTTCTGGTTCGCAGCCAAACGCCTGGCCCACGGGGCCACCACGGCTCCTTTTTGACCTCCATCATCGTTGTTAGGTGCCATCAAGTGGGCACCAACTCGTAGCGACCCATGTACAATAAAAGGATAGAAAATGAATTTAAATGAGATCATTTTATCTCAAGAAGTGGGGTTGTTTGTAATTAACTTTCGTTTAGAAGTAAATTTAGATTTACAGAGAACTTGCAAAGATAATGCAGAGTTCTCATATACCTGTGACCTGGTTTCCTCCATTGTTAAATGGGCTTTTTGTTGTTATTGTTAATTGTTGTAAAAACAATACTGCAACATTACTAGAAATAAAAATTGAAAATTCTGCTATACTTTCAGGCCCCTTGACTAACTGAACTGTGTTGAAAAGTTAAAACTGAAAATTCTCTTTTGCACCCCCTCTTCGCCCAGGATCCCGCTGTCTAGGGACAGTCATTATCTGTAGCAGTTGAGTAATTTCCAGGTCTTTTGTTCTGTGTCCTTACACAGCTCATATACAGAATCTTTTCTGCAAAAATAGAGTAATGTTAGGAGCTGTCTCTATTTTTTACTATAATTAAATCCAGTTACAGAATACACAGTTCAAATAGACACACACGTAGAGTGAGTTAATAAAGTAACACACACCTAGTACAATCTTCTGTTCTGGAGATTGTATCATGTTGACACACAGAGATTGACCCTGGTCTGTGCAGTGGCTACGTGGCATCCCACTGCATGCCTGAACCCTGTTGACAGACATTTGGGTGCCTCAAGTCTTACGCTAGTATAAACAGGGCTGCAGTGGCCATCTTTCTCCCTGTGTGTTTATTTTTTTGCACGATCCTGAGTATGTCTGTCTGTTCTGTGGAATAAATTCCTGGAAGTAGAGGAGCTGGGTTGAAGAACCTGGGGAGTTTTGAGTTTTAGAGATTTCTCCAAATTGACTTCGAGAGAGTTCGCCCCAGCTCACACCCCTAGTACTTATGAGAGGCATTTTCCCCTTGTCCAAGCTCTGTGGCATTGTAATAGACAAAAACAACGGCATCTCCTGTGTAGTTTTAATTTGTGATTCCCCTCAGGAGTCAGGTGGAGTATCTGGAATGGGCACTCCCTCTTCTTGAAAACTCTCTGGGTGGAATTCTCTCCTTTCTTTCCTCAAACACCGGGAGGTCTGAGCACATGACTCTCCAAGAATTGTCGCTTTTCCTCATAACTTCCTTATTATCGCAGCACTCATCTCTAAGGCACCCATTTAACCACCTGCAAAGACATGACATTGTGCCTGGAGAAAGTGCCCAGTGCCCCAGCCCCTCCAAAGCATTAGACATTTTACCAAGAATCACAGAACAGTTTCTGTTGGAAAAAATTCTGATACTTAACAAAAACTGCCTTGAAGCTTTGCTTGGATTAATGGAGCAGTCTTGCCTCACGCGGCTGATGGCACTGGAGGGAGGAGGGTGCGCCGGGTGGATTCTGGGGTCCCGACTCCTCTGTGCAATCCTGGTGCAGAAAGGGGCCTGGTCAGCAGATGAAAAATGTGCTTTTGTCTCCCTTTGTTTTGTGAAAGATGCACTCAGCTCAACACGAAAGTGGCCAGACTCACCACGGAGCTCAAAGAGGAGCAGGAAATGAATAAGTGTTTAAGAGCCAACCAAGTCCTCCTGCAGAATAAACTGAAGGAGGAGGAGAGGGTCCTGAAGGAGACCTGCGACCAAAAAGACCTGCAGATCGCCGAGATCCGGGAGCAGCTGCGCGACGTCATGTTCTACCTGGAGACGCAGCAGCAGATCGGCCAGCTGCCCGCAGAGGCCCGGCAGGAGATCCAGGAGGGGCAGGTCAGCATCGCCGTGGCCTCCGCGGCCGGCGCCCCCGCCTCAGGGGCCGCCGGGAAACTGCCCTCCAGGAAGGGCCGCAGCAAGAGGGGCAAGTGACCTTTGCAGAGCCGACGTCCCCGGGACCACTCTCCTGGCACTCTGTGTGCTGGAGCTTTCAGCTGCGGGGAGGGTGGGCCCTGACTAAGTACATCAAGTGGGGACCAAGCCCGAGTAGTTTGGATCCTTTTTTCCCAGCGTGTGGCTTCATGAATGCGGAGGGTTGAGGATGGGGAGGCTGATGGCAACAGGCAGTACCTTCCCAGGTGGCTGCTGCTTTCAGCCGGGCCAGTTCACTCGCCTCAGGCACGCCGACGACCACTTTGCCTTCCTCCTGATAGGTGCCCCAGCTCTGCTGCGCATCTTTCCGTTGTATTTATTGAGTTTGTGTATTTGACACTCAGTCCTGGGGTCAGTTGAAGACCTTAAATTAGTTGTATTTTTAGTTACGACACAGGTGGCACTCAGTACCAAGCCTCCCTGAGTCTTAGCAGCTGCTTTAATGAGAAATTCCTGGTGGGTCCTGAGACCTCCTGAAAATTCCCTAGTGTCAGTCTCTCACCACTGTCATCCACCCATTTCCTCCGGGGAACTGAAGAATTGTTTGAATGTTTTACAAAGAGAGACTCCACCTGTAAACTGTTTGCTAGCTTGTCACCAGCAGCCACCTCTTTGAGCTCTAGGGCCAGCCAGGAATGGCAGTCAGCCGGGGGCAGAGTCGACCCCATGTCCGGAAGAGGGGCCTTTCCACTTTATTTTTGGTGACTCCATCCTTCCTTGGGAACCTCAAATAAGAAAGGGGCTTAATGGTTGCTCCCAAGACTCGAGTCTCAGAGTGGATTACCCAGCATCCAGCGGGAATGATGGGCAGATTTATCACCCACGTGCACATGTGGGGAGAGGCCGCTGAGCAGCTGATTGTGTTTTGCTGGGATCAGTATTTTCTGGATGTTTACAAAAGATCGAGCTGCGTGGTCAGGGTGGAAGCATGCCAGAGGGAGCTTGGGCGGGTTTTCCATGAGGCCATCGAGATCCAACCAAAGGCGATTTCTCACCCTGAAGATCAGAGTTTTAGCAGCGCCGCCTTTGCAGCTCTCCTGCAGTGCTTGCGGTGGGCCAGCAGGGGGCTGCACTTCCTCTAGGCGCATAAACTAAACGCCCAGTCATTTGTGATATGCAGGAAGTGAGCAAAATTGAAGGCAGACCCATGTCGAAATTTAGCTTCAAGAAGAGATAGGTGGACAGCTTCATGAGACATTCTGTTAAATGATAGATTTTTTTTTTCCTTCTTTATAACTAGCCAAAGTTTTCAAACGATCACATTTCAGAATGTTTTCTTTTAAGCCTGTACTTGGGCCTCATCCCACTTGACCTAAACGTCTTTCACGCCACTTTGTAACACTCCGCTGCATGGGCACAGTGTCAATTTTTATGGAGGAGCTGCAGCATCTCCCGAAGAACCTTACCTATGACTTTGCAAAACGAATGTACTCACGTTCCTGATTTGTACGTAGACCCGTGTGAGTCTCCCGTGGACTTGTATACAGATACCTTAAAGCCAGAGTGGGGCTGTAAAGGATAACCTAGTTCTCTTTCCTATAGAGATTCTATTTTATTTAAAATCTATTTTTACACTAGTTAGAGTCCTGCTCTTCTGGCCAAGTACTTGTCTTGCATGTCTGATCTTGCAGAAGCTGGGATGGATCGTAGCATACTAACTAAGAGACTTAGAAGTGGTTTACAGAGCTGGCTCCTTCCTCATTTCCTGCCATGGCCTCCCCAGCGGCTGGAAAGCCGAGGTTTGCAGTACAGGTGGCCCAGACACCCTGAAAGGCTGCACCCTGAGGAACGAGCAGACAGGCACATTTCCAGGCTACTTGAAGGTCGAGGAAAAAAATATGTAAAGAATGTTTTTTGTTGTTTTTAAAATGGTCATAGAGTTGTGTGTTTTGAATTCAACAAAATTATATAAGCCTGGAGCTGTTAGTGTTTTCTTCAGGCTAAAAACAAACCACTTGACGTACCCATACTACCTGGAACAATGAAATGTATTAAAATAACCAAACTTTGAAATGATTCTACCCCGTGTGAAATTTGTGTCTCTCGGACAGGCGTTTGCTCGGCGCGTGGAGCTGACGCTCCAGTGGCCTGGATTTCAGAAGCAGCCTGAAAACCAGCCCTCGGCTGTGCAGGGAGCAGCTCAATGAGCGATCTGTCAGCCCTCTCGCTCGGGTAACAAGTAGCTGAACCACAGAGTAGGGAAAAGATCTGCATTTGGAGGCTCACGGGGGAGAGGCACACAGTTCTTTAGAACTAACAGGAATCCATTTAGAAACCTGAGAATGTTTTCCAGGCCACACCAAGCCGAGAGAGTTTTACTTTGGAAATCGTCACAAACGTGACAGTTTTAAAATATGTTGAATAAAATAAAGCACCCAAACCAACCGTCCCGTTCCCTGTGTGCTTGAACGGTGCGGTTGTCTTCCTCAGAAGGGCTGAGAGACTGCTTTAAACAGTCAGCTGGGAGAGGACAACTTGGCAAATCGTGGATGGACAGCCTCTGCCGTCGCCTGGAAACCACTTCCTGGGCAGTCGGGGCGCACGGGCTCCAGTGCTCTCGTGAGGTTTGGCTGTGGCCCACGGCAGCACATCCACAGCTCGGGTGGCTTCTTCAGGCTCGGGCGCCGAAGCCCATGGGCTTTTCAGGAGCAGGCAGCCACTCTGTCTCCCAGAGGACGTTGCTTCGCCTCTGCAGAACGGGTTCCGCTGCACTCCTTGCTCTTGGCAGCAGGAGGGAAAGGTTGCACCGCAGAAAGGCTCTGCGCGGCCTCGGCACCGGCTCCTGCTCCTTAATGGTGTCGGAGGACATCTCAGCTCCCCAGAGACCCAGCCGTCATCTTAAGGGTTAGGAAGCCACGCTCCCCAGAGACCCAGCCGTCATCTTAAGGGTTAGGAAGCCACTAACCGTTTGTCAGTGGCAAGCTTTGCTACTGGCCAGGCCTTTTCGTTCTTGCCTATGAAAATCTGTCATGCGGCATTCCCAGAAAGGCTGCAGAGTGGCCACTCCAGCAGATGTCGCATTTAAGGTGTGAGGTCCTAAATGAAGGAAAGAAACAGTGATGTAATAATGGGGAGAAAAGTCTTCCCTTTCACAAACCCCTAGTTTTCTCCAGGGGTCAAGGCCACATGTCTCCTTCCCTCCTGCAGTAGAAAGTGGACTTTCTCTCCCCAGATGCTGTACTGGTCTGCCTGGAGCCAACAGAAAGCCCTTCTTTGCAGTTGTGTGTGAGGGGACACTCAGGCCAGTTCCATAGGCTGTGTTCAGGTTTTCAGTGTGGAGGGTTTGTAGGGAGGAGAAGAAAGGAAGCCTCCTCCGTTCGGATTAACGTATGACTGGCCTTCGTTTGGATTCCACCCTCTTTCCAGTTTTTCATGGTAGGCCCTCTGCCTTGCCCCCGGGAAACCCAAGCATGCTCCTGGAACAACCGCAAACACCAGACGGTAGGTTCTAGCAGGAGGTGACCTGTACTTCTAGAAACCAACACCTGTGGGATCGTTGTAGCTAGCTTCGTTTGCGTGAGTGCTGCGGGTCGCCCTGCAGTCCTGTCATCTAGGAGAACGAGAAAGGGCTCTGCAGGTGGTTCTTAGTCGGGATGTTGCATTCTTGCCACATCAGAGAAGGCTGTGGAAAGCCGAACCATCTGTTTCCAACAGGATGACTGTAGTCTTTGGGACCTGCTGTTGACTTGCTTTGGGTCAGAAGCTTTTCACTGGAACCGTCTGGAAAATGTGGTTTGGGCACTTGGTGTGGAGCTATCTGTGCTGGTACAGATACCATCTGTTACTCCGGGGCTGTCTGCCGAGCTCACTGAGTGAACTCAAGCCGCTTCGCCCATTTTCAGACCACATTGGAAGTCCCCTGACCCAAGACTCCTTTTAGATCCGGCCCAAGGTTGCCTTTCTGAAGTCAATGTGGGGAAGTTTGCCTGTGGGGGGAATGCAATCAGTGAGCCAAATCCCTTGTGCTGTTCTGGGACACAAAGGGTGACTGGAGTTTTATACAAATAATGCTTGCATCATACTTTTTTTTTGCAAATCATGCAACCCTCTCCACGTTGTTTCGCATGTGTGCAATGCGTGTTATATGCGTGGGCACATTAGTTGCAGAAACTACAGTCCAGTGCCCAGGATAAATCCACTCTAGGAGAAACAGTTAAGATGACTCTCTTCAACAGATGAAAGTAAAGCTGCACCATTGACATAAATGTCAGATGGAAAAGCCGGCTCTGACCAGGCCTCAGAACCAGACCACGCTCCCTCCCCATCCTTTGCCCCAAAGAAGCAGCAGGTCTCAGACCAATGCCCGTCCATTTGTTTCCTCGTGTAAAAAGGAAGAGCCCACTCACACCCACCAGAATCGGTCCGTGATTCTAAATCTTTCAACCGGTGGTTATGGTCCAAGAGAGAAAAAGTTCAGTCCTTCCCTAGAGGACTCTGGGAAGGCAAGTCCTAGGAAAAGAATGAGGTGTTTCCACAACTTGGGCAGCTTGCGCGTATCACTTTACATCATTAACGGCGCTTAGCACCCACAGACTTCAGTGCTGAGAGAGAAGGAACTCCAACTAATTCCTAGGGCAGAAGAACAGACCCCAGAGAAAGTCAAGAAGAGCAAACAGAGTATTTCTGGGGAGTTGCTCTCTTGAAAACACTCCAGGGGAGAGGGCCCACGCTGGCTTATCACACGCAGCCCCAGAGGGTCTTCCAGCAGTGGATTTTCCAGGAATTCTCTCTCCTGAAAGGCTGGACTTCAGCGGTAGCCATGCCCGCACACATATATAACGGAGTAGTAGATGCTCACGCAGAAGCTCGGAGCCCAAAACGGTCTGCTAAGAGCACAGCGGCAGCAGAGCCGCGGCACCCTCCCTGCCCTCCGGAGAAACACGGTAAGGGCCTCCTGCCCGGCGCTTGCCTCGTCCGGCACTCTCACTGCATTTGTTTCCCTGCTGCGGAAAACCAACACCAACTGGCGTTGCTCCCACTCAGGGCCGACTGCAGGCGGCTGAGGACAGTGCAGCCAGGAGGAAGGGGAGGCCGGCTCGGCCCGCCTGCCCCAGCACATTTGACTTTAATTACGTGGGAACATGCCTGGGCTGGGGGCTGCTGCCAGAACTCTCCTGGCCCCAACGGGGGAGGCCTGAGCCGTG